GACAATTGGGTGCTTGTTGTTTCTGTTATTTTTAAATTGTTGCTGCTTTTTTTAAAAACCTATTATGGACAGAAGAGACGCAAAATTCCTTTCTTGATTTTTGTTCAGATGTTTATGCGTATATTTTATATGATAAAACAAGTCAATTGGCTTATCCTAATAAATGTCTTGAAAACGGTGATCCAGTGGAACCATTAAAAACAACACGGTTTCATTGAGTCTTTACATGCGGGAAAGTGAAAAAATGCAACATCCGTCACGCCCCCTTACACCGGCTTGAGTGGTAATATTATCTCGTTGTTCAATATTAGTAACTATTGAAGAGTTAAAAAGAAGAAATAATTAATCTTCGCCCTAGGATCAATAGCTTTAGTATCTATGTTAGTTATACAATGTAAGTGTTTTCATAATGACCTTCAGCTTGTCATTGGTCTCAGTTCATTGTGAAAATACATAATTATTGGAAATTTGATTAATAATACCACCATTTTCCGCATGTTTTGCCAAAAGTTTATTTTCAGTTTTTCTTCCACCAAGTTCTTATCGACATAAAAATTCCTCGATAACGAATAAGTTCATGTCATAGTTTGACCCTACATTACCCTGTTTCTCTATGGAACTTTCAAGATTTAATTAATCGTCAGGTTATTGTTTCAGTGTACGCTCACTGGAAAATTATCGACTGGTGTAATGATAACTTCTATTTAACCCGCTCGGATCCTAATTCTGCATTTGTATTGTTAATCAACTTATATTGTAAAATAATTAAGGAATGAGTCACTTTACATAATTCTAAATTATATAAATGTGCACATGATTGCCTCGCATTTAATATTAATCAAAACTTATGCCTGAAAACACAATATATTTCGACGTATTTCCATTAGGTCACCTCAATAAAAATCAATGAAGAAGTAAATACTACTGAATAACGTGAGTGCCATCGTGGTTATACTTTATTATCTAGAGGGCGACAATGCGAGGGTGTGATAAAGCTATGGCGACACTGCGACTATGCGATGACGACACTGCAATAATGCGATGACGATAGTGCGATAATGTGAGTCCAATTGCAAAAATGCGATAACGTGCGAAAAAGCAATGGCGACTATGTGATAGTGCGCTGGCGACCAAACGAGAATGCGACAATTGCGTTGTCACTTTCGCAGTATCGTACTCTCGCCATCGCGTTATCGCACTGTCGTCATGGCCCAATCACAATTACTTATTATTGCATTGACGTTATAGCATTGTCGTCATTCCGCTATGGTAGTATCGCCCTCGCGTTATCGCATTGGGACAATTACCTCCCAGAACATTGTCACATCCTGATTTGAAAGCACTGAACTGCCGGCGAATTAGCTAACGATATAGAAGAATATTTCATTTTTGTAAATATATTTTTTTTCTTCTTTTCTTTTTGTTTTTCTGTTTATTTTTTCATGACTGCAAACGTCAAAACAGAGTTATAAATTAATGAAGAATTATTAATAAAGCAGCATTTTATTTGAACAATTGGGAGAATTCTTATGTTATGTTATTATATAAAATATACAGAAAAATGTAATAAATTGTGTGAAACAGTCGAAAGATTTCACATGACAATGCTGTTAATTTGGCGTTTAAAAGATGAAAAAATGTTAAAATCATTGTTTATAACTCATACAAAAAGACAAACAAGTTATATTCATAGATCACATTGCTAAAGTATGTACAAAAAATGAAAATGAATTGGTTAGTTAAAACAGAAGATATTTATTGTTTTGTGAGATGTAGAATTTGTTTTATAACTAACTAGTACATCTCTCTGTCTCTCTGTCTGTCTGTCTGTCTGTCTCTCTCTCTCTCTCTCTCTCTCGGTCAGCACATTGCAGAAAAAGAAACATACCCCCCCCCCAAAAAAAAACAACAAAAAACAAACAAAACAATTTATTAAAGTAACAATATTTACCCGTATTTTTTATCGTCAGGTTCCTCGTCAACAGTTTAGAACCGCTTATCAAATACCAAAAGGATGTGACCATGCGTACCGAGAATGCGATAACGCGATGGCGACAATGCGACAGTGCAATGACGTCAGTGCGAATATTCAATGACCACAATGAAGCAATGGTAAAAGTGTTTGAAGCAGTAAAATTATCAGTAAGATATTTTCACTGTTTTCGATTTAAACCCGGTACGTTTAAAATGCAGCAGGTTTGGTTTGATTTGAGCCTGGTCATGGACTGAAGAAACTTCTATCGCACGTGTCGTTACGCATTGATAATGTTATAACAGGATTGGCGTTTTCTTTTTTTAAATCAATATGTTATGTTAAAATTTACAATACTAAAAATAGAAAACTTTACTTAAATAAACATGATTTTTAACTTGCGTGAAATGTAATATATTAGAAAAAAAGACAGGTGTATATGTCAAGACATTATATTTTAATAGCTTTACAATAAAATATACTAAAAAATTACAGATGCTTGTTCAGAATAGAGCCATGATTGTGATTCAGGTCTTACGTGATATAGCATTTAAATAGCCTTAATAAAGTTCTTTTGGACATTCATTGTTAAATATAAAGATACTTTGTTGGTGGTGGACTGGTGCAAGTTTCTAATAGATATCAAATGTATACATGTTCAATGTTGATACTGCACATCAAACACGCCTCCAAATGATGTGAACAGTCACAGGTAATGTACAAATCAGCCTTTATAATTGTTCTCTATTAAAGTTGAACATCTGAAACCCTTATAATCTTTATTCATGTTCTAGGTATGTGGTCGTTGTTAAATGAATAAATTAAGTTGCATATTTTTGTGAAAAAGTAGGACCTAATGCATGCATTCACAAAGTAATAATAAAATAAATTTAAGACAAAGACAGAGTTACAGAAAAAAAACATCTTCTTTGCGCCGAGAATATGTCCAGTTAAATATTGGTTCGAATTGTATAATTTTCAAATGATTTTTAGGACGAACTTTCTTGTTGTTTCACAAAAAGCAAAAATATCTTTGTAATATCAAATAATTGTTATGAAAAGTTGTTAAATATAATCAATTTTTAGGTACGTATTGTTTACTTATTTGTTATTTATTAAGCTACTTGATTAAACACACGATTGCATATTTGCCGGAAAGTAAGGTATAGAACCACTAAATGTAATAAAGAAAATCTTGGAAAAAGAGAACAATCGTCACAGAATGCTTCAAAATAACCTATTTCAAATATTTGTGATACATTTTAAAGCAAACTACTTTTAACACAAAGTGTATTTATTTACCAACTGAATTATTAAATATTTTCTTAAATAAGCATACATTTTTCCTCTGTTGCAAAAAAATATTACCGTTGCGCCCGCAGCGCCAACATATCCAGTAGTGTATTTTAGTCGTACTCCTTGGCTCCCGTTATTAGAATATTGACTGGCTTATTGACACGTTATTTATTAGGTAAATGAAATTAGATGATGATAGAAGGAATATGATATTCACGCATGGCACTTCAGTTAAACGTTAATCTTAATTACTAAAAGCTGTAAGACTAAAATTTTCCCAATTGCTGAATAGACGAATGCATATCTACTAGCCGCCGCGTCAACGAAGCGTCTAATGATATTGCGACAATTAATTAATACAGCTGCTTTAAAAGGTATAATTAACTCAGATTTAAACATTTTTACATTGAATTTGATTGCAGCCTAAAACAATTTCTGAACAGACGGACAGACAAAATGGCTCTTATATGGATATTTACAAATTGTAAACAAAAGCAAAAATCCAATCCGACAAAATACATCACTTTTTTTTTGTTATGCAAATATGCATGTGATCGATATATATTAAGGATTTTCTATGAAAACGATAGCTTCTTTTAACAACATTTATACGGTGCTTTTTACTTAACCCTCTCACTATCAATATTCACTTTCCATTCTCGCTAAATACAGAGTTTTATCTTTATCAACTTACCCTTCTTGCATAAATATAGAAGTGCATCAGTATAAACTTACCGTTCTTGCTAAACACAGAAGTACACAAATATCTACTTACACGTCTTGGTTGATATAGAATTATAGCAATATTCACTTACGCTTCCTGCTTGGTAAAGAAGTACATCAAACCCCTTCTAGCTTAATTTAAAGGTGAATAAATATTTACTTACCGTTCTTGCTTGACAGAAGTACATCAATATTTACTTACCCTTCTTGATTACTATAGAATTGCATCATTATTTAATGACGCTTCTTGTTTGTAAAAGAAATACGCCAATTTTCACTAACCCTTTTTGCCTGATAAAGTACTACATCAAATTTTACTAAATCTTCTTGATTGGTGCAGTTCTAAGAACATAACAATTACTTACGTTATGTGCTTTTCAAAAAGGTGCAGCAATATTAAAAATTCACGGGGATTGATTTATATCGAACAATATCACTATGTTCTCAATTATTTTGTTGATATACAATAACATAATCGCTCGTCTACGGTTATATTCGTATTCCCTTTGTTCCCAGTTTTTTCCTTTTAATTCTACCCCTCCCTTTTCCGGTTTTTAAGTCGCCTTCCACTGTGCCCTTTGTAGGCCTAGTATTAATCATTTATTTCTTACTTCCCCTTTAGTATATGATCTATCATAATACACTATTTTCCTGTCCTTGATCTACTTTGTACAATGTCCTGTTTTTGTTTTGGTTCTTCATAGGGCGCTTGCCGCTGGCTCTTGTTGCTTGGTCGTGTAGGGGATGCGTTCATTGACCCCCCCCTTGTTGGTCTTGTTTACCAAAATTTTTCACTTCTGGTGTGATATATTGAGTACACAAGTATTTACTTAGCCTTTTGGTTGATTGAGATCTACGCCAATATTAATTTGCCCTTCTTTGTATAAAGAAGTTCATCAATATAAATATACCTATCTTGCGGGGAGTGGGAAAAAGTGCATAAACATTTATATATATAATTTGTAAGATGTAGTAGTGCATCAATATTAAGCTGCTTTATTTGCCTGATAAATAAGTGAAGAAATATTTACGTACGCTTCTTGCGTTTTTGATATTTTTCCTCCTTTGCTTGCCTCCCTTCATAACTTTTATCTGTAATCAAATAAATAGGCCTGTAATCAGTGTATGTTTTGATTCAAGTTTATAACATTACTATTTTCTAGTTATATAAAACGGGTAGTCCAAAATATAATTATTAAAAAACAAACAAACAAAACATCTATTATCAAAAATTTAAATGTACAGCATTCTCAATAAAAATACAAGATATTGAAAGCTGACGATAAATGACAGTATATTTGATACCGTTAAGAAACAATTTGAAGCAGTCGTTGACAAGTTATATATTGTATTTAAGGTAGACAATTTTGTAAATGGTTTTGCTCTTATTATGGTACAACTGAAAATTACTATAATTAATCTATTAAATATAAGGTTAATGATGTGATCTGACCAGTAGGTATTAAACTGTTATTATTACGCATTGTCAAATGCTTACATAATGAAATAATCAAGTTGTGTGTAATTTGCTATTATGGTTGTGTATTCCCCTCAATAATCCATCGGCATAAATCCACATCGTACTTTATTGAATATTATGATATTTTATTTAACTTAATTTTTCTGTCACATATTCAAACATACTTTATTTTTATCACATAATATATTTTAATAACGTTAAATCAATTTCTTTATTGTATACGATAAAAAAATCAAACAACAGACCTTCAGCTACTCGTCTTTTGATCTCCTCTTGGTTTTTCTCTACTTCAGTAACCCTTTCTTTCACATCTGTCATCTCTTCTTTCAGTCGATCAACATCAGCTTCATAGTCTTTCCACTTTTTTATTTCTTCTTGAACCCTTTTCTCTTCCTCTGGATCTAGAGTGCATGTTTTGAAATCGGCAATTTTTTGCTGAATATTCAAAGCTGGAGAACTTAGTCGAACAAGTATCTAAGAAAGAAATTAAACAAAAACATAACAAATTACTTCTGTTTATTTTTATATAATCATTTTATTCTGTGTTGGTTGAAATTGAAAATGAATGACGAATTAACATATTAAATAAATATATTGTTTATGTATAGTACAAAGTGATATTTAAAATTAAAAATTACATAATATATATATATATAAAAAAATCGTTCATGGTCAGATAACCTTAAATGTAAAGAAGTGACCCCCATCATTTAATCAATTTTCATCAATCTATTTCAATCATTTCAATCAAAATTCCCTTTCATGATGAAAATTTCAAAAAAAAAGTTGTGCTTATTTTTTTCCGAATAATAAACAATATTTACCTGCTCTATGTCATTCCACATAGTAACAAATTCATTTGGTTGTATAACAGTTGTTTTTGATATATGACTTATCTAAAATATAAATAAAATAACCTGTAAACATATTAGTAAACATATGTCCGAAAGTATTTGGAAAGTATTGATAATACTCGCAAATGAATTCATAAACAAGGAAATTAGACAAAGGGAAATTGGAGGAAAATATTGCAAATTTTGTGCGCACGACACTTATGACAGCCATCTCTTGTACAGAAATCATGGGAAAATTTACTGTTTAAGTTTTTCGGTGTAATGCTTGTCATCATATCAATTATAAATTTTAATAATCAAAATACAGCAGGTAGTTTAAGGATGATGGTTAGAAATGACTTAGTCGTAAACAAATACGTTGATATTTTTGTTAAAGCATTAATGCACCGTATACATGCACCTGTGCAGTATTTGAGCTAAGGTCATGAAACTTTAAGTAAATTTTAGGCAGCATATTAAGTTGTATACATTCTGTTTCTTAGCATTAAGGCCAGGGTTATTGCCCTCTACATAGTCAAAACTTGTCATACATGTTGTGCATTGGGATTTCACTTGGTTTTAATAAAATTCACTGCCATATTAAAGAAAAGTTTTTGACTTTTGTAATTCTTGAATTTCATGATTTCATTATGCTTTACAAAAACTCGTTAATTGATATATAAGTCAATAATTATAAATATAAAAAGTAAGCATATTTTTTCGCACCAAGTTACTTACTGGCCATCTGTCAATATGCACAAAGTTGTGACAAATTCCAATAACGTCAATAACGTTTTGTAAACATTGTTGTTGTTTCTTCTTTCAAGCTCATGAAAGACATTACACGCTTTTTGTAACTTTATCGTACGCGCAAAAAGCGTGATTTTGACATATACTTTTCAAATGACGTTTACCACTTAACAAAATGATTTATTTTACGCCGAGACTTTAAAACAAAATCAAAACTTTTTTAATTACGAAAAAAAAAAATAAATAAAACAACGATATTTGAACATTTTTAAAAATCATTTTCTTCATGCTTGCTTTTTGCATGATTGCAGCAAATGTGCCATTCAAGCTCTAGCAGGATGTGATGTTTTCCCGATGAATCACAAAGAATGGATGAAACAATGACAAGGGGTAGAGGTGGCCAAATTGCTAAGATGTTTGCCACTCAATCAAAGGAGTGTGAGTTAGAGCCAAACTTATGTCACAGCTATGTTTCCTCATTTGACTTCAGTACTGGTTAGTTCCAGAAAGGGGACTCTTAAGTCATTGTTGCAGTCACAGTCGTTGTCGTAGTCGTCGGGGTAGACGCAGTCGTGGTTAACTGGCCAGAAAAGAAATCAACATCTTTAAATACAGCTATATAAGTTGTCATGCAGCATCTTGACGAATTCATCTTTCGGTAGTATATAGCTAACGGTAAGCCAATAGGAAAGGCATAAGCTATATGACAAATTGTTTCAGTGATGGCATAAATATAAAACTTAAAGATTAGTAGAGGTAGGTTATAAATTTGGTTGGTATGTTCTGATTTTGCAAACAATGACAATTTTATTACTATTAACGTACTAAATTTTTTTCCCATTTCACAATATGCTTTGTGCGGGATAAAAATGATAGGTTGGAAATGTGTAAATACTTTTTGTTCTTTTATTATTAAATTAATTATTATACTTGGGAATGTGAAGACGTTTACAGTTCCCCCAAGCGATGAAAAATGTTGTTGTTTAAAGCGTAAATGTATTGTTGACTGTAGATGAAAGTAACTTGAATTCTGACATAAAATCAAGTTCTATAATAGCGTACATCTTTCATCATATAAGACGAAATGCTATCATTTTTAATATTTTTGTCAGATTGAAAAAGTTACTGATTAACAGATAGTTAGTTCATAACAATGTAATTGTCTTGTTTGCGTATTATAAATATCCCAAGAAAATTTATAACCTACCATTAGCATTCAGTAAATTTTAGATTTCTGCCATCGGTGCATTAATCTGTCATATCTGGCGCGGGTAATATGAAGTGCCTTTAAACGTCATGAGCCTTATACGGTGCAACTAATAGCATCTTACTTTTAAATAGGATTAATGAAATGCACTTTGTCCTGATGAGATATATCTAATACGAAATATCATGTCAGTATATAGAAAAGGATGCGACTTGTTTTGCAGAAAAGTATGTCAAACTTGTCAATGTTGCCGAATTGATATATTAAAGTTTTAATAAGCATGTTAACTTTTGCGCCCTTTACTTACTTTATTTCTAAAAGCCTTTAACCGATACATATCTGCCTCAATTGTTACATCGGTTGATTTAGGTGTTGTGTTCCAATCAAATTTCTTGTTTAATCCAAAACACTTCAGGGATCTAAGAAGACATATGATAAGGGTAATGTCCATATCCGACGAAGTTGGGACTCGGGCAACTGTTGGAAACAATTGGTCATATTGTACCTGCGTAATATTGCCACGGCTTTTCAAACGTGTGATTGTTGGCTTTTCTTGATTTAAACATACACTTAGGGTTATGCCTTTAGAAGCAAGGGTCTGGTCTAGTATATTTCTCAAAACCAGGAGGCCACCGTCTATAATGAGTATTTGCAACCGGAAGAGGTAGACACGGTTTTTTGAGGTATATGTCTTACCACAGGTTGCCATTTCTGCTTCCTTTGTCCAATCTATATTATAGACGCATCTAAAAATAGATAAGAAAAAACTTATTTGAACATTTGATATTTTGTATAAAAGCTTGTTGCAAGATGTTCTGCTTTCAATGTTATTGTAACTTTAACGTACAATAACTTTCCTATAAATAATCAGAAGAAAATAAATGGGAAATTGGAGTCAATAAGATGTTGTTTTATTTATTTTATCTTTGTGATTAATATAATATTAAAGATAGAAGTAAAACGTCCAGGTTTTAATTCTCCTCAGCTGGTGTTTTAACTCCCAAGCCTTAGCTGTCATCAAATATACCACTGCTTATTACACTGTTAAAATACTAATTATTCTAAGAGTCAACATTGATATAATTACAGAATAATATCATTTCTACCATTGTACTGTTTGATACTTTTGTAGTCCTGGCGAACTGCGTTGATGCATTTGTGTTTTACCTACAAGGGTTCATAAATTAATTAATTTATGATATAGTCTTTAGTTTATATCTACTAATTGTGACTTTGAGTGACGCCTCGACATTTGAAGCGATAACACGACTCTGTGTTCAACAATGATTTTGTTGTTGTTGTTGTTTTAGTACTTTTAAAAGAATATTATATCAAATAAGTTGACTAAAAACAATTAGCTCTATGAATACAGTACTTATCTTATACTTAGTCACGGTCGACTGACGCTATATAAAGAAGCATTTCTTCGGGCGAAACTGCTCTTTCGCATGCCTTCTGCATATTTTTCAAATGTTCAGTTGGGACAATCAAATTTCAGTTATAACGTAAATTATCATATCAATTATTTTTGTTGATCACGAATTCAGAGGTACTGTTGGGTATGATGAATAATGGAGACATTTCAGAAAGTTAAGGTCGTCATACGATATTTAAACGAAACAACAAGTGTGGTTGAGTAACGGATGCAAATGAGTACTTTACAAAAAATAAGCTAAAACTCTCTACAGTCGGTTTTATAATAAATGCGCGTGTGAAATTGCATTAGTATACGCATACAGTTAGAAACACTGACTGTAAACAGACATTTTCTTTTGAAGCAAACCTGTCATTACTTCCCACTCTGTGAAAATGAAGAATTGAAGAGAAGAGGATTAACTTGAAGTAACGATCCCTTTGCTTTCGGGCTTGCCCAAGAAAAATATAGATAAGCGGAGGTAATGTAGAGTAGGGTTCTCGCTTTCCTTAAAACTATGGCAAATATTGGCAAAGGTTTCAGTACTAAAGGTACTCAAACGTTAGTTTTCGAGAAACGCTTTGTGTCTCATACGTTTCAAAGACCAGCAAGTTGGATTAATTATAATAAAACAAATAGTTCATGTAAGAGACTTATAGATTAAGAGTAAAACATCAATGCTGAACGCTATGATATGCAATTATGATGTAAATAGCAACTGTAAACATAATATCTTTTGTGTAAGACCCATTGTTAAATCTACAATGGGCGCCCGTTTACAGCCGGACCGACTTTGGCGGTGCGATACATTTTAAGCGGGGAAAAAAGGGGGCGATACGGAATAATGGCAGATTTTAGATTTTCATTCATTTCTATACAATTACTGAAAAATTACTTCGAATTATTTGACAAACCTATGTTTTACTTCCGTTGTTCATGTCTGACACAATAACTAATCAAAAGAAAGAACTTTATAGTTTTGACAATTTATTTCAAACAAACATCTCAAACAATAGCGAACATGGATACAAGAGAGATAATATGTTTGTCCATTTTGTATAGTTTGCAGTTCGATTGTGAAATTTCGTGATGCTACAACTCCGATTGTTCTTCGTATAATTATATTGTTATCTGAATGCTATATACATATATGATAATCTACTCAGGATTTACATTTGCTGACTATTGAAATCTAATGTAATACAATTTGTTGGTGTTAATGATTATTTAGTTCTTGCTAATCAAATCATTATGAAATCTTCACCATGTATATAGTTTTCTCTCTCAATGTCTAGCAGACTGGTGGAATTTCCGGGTGAAAATGTCATTCCCAGCTAAATATCATACTACATTTTCCCCAAAACATATGGGCTTAAGACTATATTCAGGCAAAATGTTCTATAGTAATCATTTTGGGCTAATTTGGAATATTTCCCCGTTCCTGAACTAATTTGGATCTATTGGCACCGGTGAATTTATAGCTTGACTACTATTCCATTAATATGTTAAATTTGTTTTTCTGTTCAAACTCATAAAAAACTGTTTACAAACTTTATGAAGTTGTATATGAATTCCTTAAACATTGCAATGTCCCGTGCAAGTAGAATATTTGTCACAGGGTCATTTTGTCTTTGCTAGAATACTCTGTATTTCAAACCCATACTTTATATCATTCCCCTATCATCTCTTTTTCAATCATTTGTATGATTATTCAACCTCATACTAATAACTTCATTTTACCTGTAACACTCAAAGGGGTACGACTCATTGAATGTTCACAAAATATGTATTTGATGGCAGAAAACAGTTTTTCCTAAGTCAGAAATGAATTCTAAATCCATTCCAATTACATTGCAATATATACTAATATATAGACAAGGGTAACAGCTCCCACAAGAAGGTGTCTATGTCCAATTAGGGGTTTTCCTCGAAGTGTTTTAAACGATTCAGCATAAATAAAAAGTAATTATGCAATATTTAGTCGTATAACTTATCTATCAAACCAAGGTAAAACTTTTCTTATCTCTCTTATATTTAACGAGTAACAAAAACCTATTTATTTACTCGAGGTCGACATCGATCGAGGCTACGTAGGAAACACAAAGTAGGCAACACATGAAGGCCTAAGTTGTCTTAGGTAAATTCATTTCATCTGGCAGATTCTTCTAGATATACTTTTTACCATTACAAATTACAGTTGCTATATTTGTATATGGTGTACTATGTATGCCATCTTGTGAACAAAAATTTATTTTTTGTATTACTTTGAGTTTATCTATTTCGAGGGGTGAAAGCGAAAAGGTTCTAACTCACTTTTTTTTACAAAATTCACTTTTTTATATTTGTAACATAAACACCCAGATACATCTTATGTCAAAATATATTAGATTTAGTTTACTTATAACAGGGTGAAATTAAAAATTGTCCAAAAGTTTTAAGTGAAATCAACTGTTTTTTTTAAAAAGCGAAAAGGTTCTAACTGCAAATGGCAGTTAGAACCTTTTCGCTTTCATTGAGTATGAAATCTACAATATTAAATAAAAACAACTCAAACTGCATTAAGATAAATGAGATCAAAATAGTTTTGGAAGCTTAACCTTTTATTGTATATTATTTATTAATATCACATAAGAAATTCATTAGTTTCAGAGTAGATGCTTTGATTTTGAAAGAAAACGTAATTACTTAGAACTGTTTCGCAGTTAACTCCACTCATGAAATTATAAACTTTTTAAAAGGGAAACAGTTCTAAGTGTGCAAGGCCAGTAATGATCACACACTATCTTAAATGGTTTTAAGTGCCTGTCAGACATTGTGTGGTGATATTGAAGGTAGGGCTTTAGATGACGGTAAGATTTCTGATAATGTAACTGAAAGTGACTCTTTAGCTGGTTGTAATAAATCCAGGGACGAAGAAGCTTTAAGATATGGTCTCAAAACCCGGCGGAGCCCTGGTAGATGTCCGGGGATGATTCGGGAACAACCAGGGTACATCCGTAACTCTGATTGCAATGTCCGGGATGATCCGGGAACACCAGACATTCGACCCCCCGATGGAATAAAATAATTAATTATGATATCACCGGGCTGATCCGGGAAGGTGTAGCTTTGCCGGCTTCATCCTTAGCCCTTCCAGGAATGACCGGGTTACACCAGGGAAGCACTGTAGCTCTGCTGACTCAAACTGGGGATGATCCGGGGTATTATATAGCCAGTAGAGCTACGGTAGAGCCCCGGTGAATGCCAACAGAGCCCCAGTGAATGCCGACAGAGCCCCTGTGAAAGTCGGCAGAGCCCTGGAGGATGGCGATTGAGGTACAGTTGATCCCTGTAGTGTTCTGGCAAAGCCCGGTTCATTTCAAAAGAAGTACGGTAATTTGCAATGATTGCACTTGTTTGTTATAAAACCCTTCCCATTTCCCCTCTGTCCAGTCTTGCATAAGGATTATTCAGAAAATCATCATGAATTACTTATCAAATATGAGAAAATATCATTTAGAACTATATTATTGAAAATTATGTATCAACGTCATCATTTTTGCGCATTTTCAATCCACTGTGGTTCTACTGGGGCTCTGCCTGGGTCAACCGGGGCTCTGCCGCCGTCATCCAGGAATGACCGGGTAAGCACTGACATGAATCATAGCTTCACCTGGGCTCTACCTGAATGGTCCGGGCGCATCCTGGGTCTTAGTTGGGAATTACCGTAGTGCTGCTGGAGTAAGTGTGACAGCAACAATTTCACCACAGATCATCCCAGTAACTCACTGAGGTGGTCCTGGGCTCTACCAGGAGTAAGTGAGACCGCAACTTTAGATGACAATAGGATAAGTGATATTCTTGAATGTTAGACTTCAGGTGATAGTGATATATTTAGAATGGTTAAAAAGGATTTTTTGATGATTATCAGAAATCTGGGTATGATAAGGTAGGAAAGTTATACACAAAATTACAAGATATTGTGACTTTGATATATTGGGCATCGCAAATGAACTTGGAGCTATGTGTGAGTACAAGAAACTAAGTTGTGTAAATATAGCTAGTGCTATGTGTGACACTGAAATATTAAGTAACGTGAATGAAAGTGGAGGTATATGTGCCTCTGAAATATTGAAAAATGTAAATGTAGGTGGAGCTATAGGTGAATTTGATGTATAAACCATGTAAATGAAGGTATAGGTATTCTGAAAATATATTTTCAGTTCAAAAATATTCTGGGACTGTTTGTGAAACTGTTTATTGCAAAGATATTCTTGGCCTTTGAATAAAAGTTCGGACAAGCTTTTCAGAGAGTATTGTTATATGATCTAAAAATAGCTGTTAATATTATTT